TACATGAACCGAGAGATATATGCTGCCTCAACTCCATCCACGGGCACTTTCGCAACGACTGGGGCCCTTCTTGTTTTTATTGTTTTTGCAACCTATTTGCAAAGTATTTGTTTCACCATGGAAATAATAAAAATAAAAATAATGACTAGGATAATAGACACAATTTAAACCTTAATCCTTACATTGAGGAAAAATACAAACAGTATGTTTATTACATTGGGATAAAAGTTTGGGAACCCCTGATATTATAGTGAGAGTAGAATATGAACTAATCTCCAAAAGGCATACAATTGAAAATGCTTTTCATCATCACTACTCATCACGTTTGATAAAAGTCCCGACCTTAAACACATCTAGATGTAAATATTGCATAATAGTCTTTGCGCCCCCTACTGGCAACAAAAAAATATGTGTTTTAAACTGTAATGTACTCTTTCGAACAGGATAATCATTCAGAAGACCCTTTAGACACCGTCCCAGCGGCACATTCGTCCATGTATGAAAATTGGTAGGTATATGTATTATAGGCAGACTTGGACCCCTATTTTAATTTGCAGATGTTGATTGTAATGTACATGTTTTGCTTGTTTTTTGGTATTTGTAGGCATTCTACTTTAATGAACTCCTCCTACAGAATAATATCAACTTCAAACAACCTCAACAATAAAAAATTGTGCTAATGGTAAGTTTACATGTTTGATGACCTGACATCTATTTACATTACATTTTAATTTACATAAACATAGCACCACCTACCACTAGTAATGATACTATATGTCACAAAATAATTATAATAATAATTATACCATATTTTATATCGTGCTTACAAAATATAAATATCCCTTTCCTCTCCCCTCTTCTCAAAACACTTTTTGTGGATTTTCTTGCATTTTTTGGTCCATTTGGTGCAACAAAACCTGACATTACTAACATGACTACCATACTAGCTTACAAAAAAATTTGGCTATGGCCCCAAAACCCTGGATTTCTCTAAAGTAAGAAAGTGTCTTGTTGCAAATTAATTCAAATTCAACTTGTCAGAGGAAGAAATTGCTATTTTCCTCCTTTCAGAAATGATATAGTTTCACTATAAACCCAACATCTGACTTCTAAAATGACACTCAGGGCGCATACCTCAGCCAACAGTCATTATAAAACCACATTTAACTTCAATATGTCCAGATTTTTATGTGGATCTGCACCAAATTGCACAATCTCATTAGTAGCAATGCCTGTTTTCTTTAATCAAGATCAATGAATTTTTCTGCCAAAATGTTTAAAAAATAAATCTCACAATGATTATGAAAGAAGGAAGAAAAATCCTGACAGGCAAACAAAATGAGAACATAACATCCTTGGTGGATGTAACTAAAATGGTGCTCTGAGAGTGCAGAAATCCTATATTTCACCTTGACAAAGCAGTGCCTTCCATTAATTATGCAATCTGGAGCAGGCCACCATATTGTTATTTGGCCCACTTGTTCCAGAATGTACCAAAATATATTTTTTAATCTTCTCATAATCTCTAATGTGGTGTTTTGCTCTTTTGCTGCATCACATGGCTATGTGCAATGGTGTTTGCAACACTATTTACAGAATGCTTGCTCACGTATGGTAAAGTCCCTGTTGTTAGCATCCACACAGAATGTCAGACCCCCATGGTCAGACCTCATAGTTTATGCTGCAATTGTCTGTGCACCCACAAGTGGCATGCAATGCAGTCCTCTCGCTCATGTGAGAACTTGACCTGTTGGAAGGTCAAAATAATCTCCTTTCCTATCCTGATCCCAATAGAAAACATCACGAGGTCAAGGAAAGACATGAAGGAGAAGCAGTAAGGAGTTTTTGGAAAGGATGACCGCAGTGTGAAGAAAATCCTACTGCACTGCATTTTTTTCCCAAGCCAACCATTTAGAACTGAAGATACATACACTGACAAACTCTGTGCTGTACACCTACAATTAGAGAATAGTTTCATGCCCAAGACAGGATGGTCTCATTGTATACAGAGCAAAGATTAAACCATCAGTTACTTATGGAAAGTAAATGTGCTAGCAGGACATTTATTTATTTATACATCCAGCTTTTATAAAGCAACACTTTTGCTCCCCTGGTCACCACCTCTAATTGTACCTGTCTATTGTTAAGGTGTTGAGGATATAGTGTGGTGGAAAAACTGTTGCAGGTTGGAAAACTAAAACACTGAGCTCAAAGAAGCTAGAATGTTTCACAGCACTGAGTGGAACTGAAAGTATGTGATACTTTTGTGAGTTTGTAACCAAGTGCAATGCCCTACACTTACATTTGGTACCTTGTTAATATGACATTTATTATTTAATGTTTAAAGCCAAGTAAACAAACATAAGAAGAAAACTTAATTTTGTATGTGTGCAAAGTTTGTTCATCAATTTGCATGTTTCCATCAGTCTGTGTTGCTCAGCTCCATGGCAACAACCTGTATGTAAAACAGGCATGCAGCCCAAATTCAAACATATTCAAATGATCCCACATCATGGTTTGGTCCTATGGGGAACCTTTTTTTTAGTAATCCCTGTCACAAAAGACTTAAATCAAAGACTAGCATGATTTACACAAACACATTTTTGTCCTTTGAGGGCGAGAGTGGATGACGCTGTTTACCACCTTGGAGGCTTCTGAATAATTTCTCTAGTGGCAGGAGACTGAAGAGGGGGTGTGAGAGCTTTGCATTTATATATACAAAATGTATGCTGGTAAGTATGAAAATGTATCCTAATTTAAGTTCAGCATGGGATATATGGAGGAGGATACCAGTTGCCAATTACCAAAGGACTTACTGACATTGACCAGTCATTCATCTTGAGAAGAAATAGAAATAACACCATGTTTTAAAGCTCAAAATCAGTGCCCTAAAAAAGAGAAACAAAAGA